ATAAATGACATACCACTCCTTTTGGGGAGAGAGAGACAGAGGTTTCGGACTTTTGTGCGAATGTGTGAAGATAAGAGGTGTTTAGAATTATTGACGTCACCCGTGTGCATTTTTAAAAGTAATATTTGAACTTTAAATATTATTAGTTTTTTTTTCGCAATTCATTTTAAAACATACTTTTGAAAATTTTAAGAAATGTGTTTTTATTTAAAGAAAAAAAATGGAAATATACGTGGGAGGCTGAAGTGTGCTGTTTTGTGATCATGTGTGACAATAGGGAGGAGAGGGGCAGTATAGTAATTTTAAAAAGCGTGACGTCATTTATGGATCGATTTATTTAGTATATTACTTCTTTCAAAAAGTACCTTTATAGGGTTATTTGACCATGGTAAAAGGTTATATAATAGAATAAAAAACTGTGAGATTTTTTAAAATGCTACAATAATTTCCACTCCAGCAATACGATTGTGACGCTGCCGTATTTTGTCCCTCTGTGACGTCTACCATCCACTCGGGAACAAAACCTGGTGAGGCTTTCATTGTTTTGTGGCGTTTGTTTTAAGTTTACATTAATTGGCATTGCTGTTTGTATAATCCAATATATATTCAAATCTTTTTTTTCTGATCTAACATAGTTATCTCAATTGTTTCTTAATGTGCGGTTAGATGTACTCACTACAACTTCATAATTCCTCTATCACATCCACCTCACACACACACACACACAAACACACACACACACATATATATATATATATATATATATATATATATATATATATATATATATATATATATATATATATATATATACATATATATATATATATATATATATATATATATATATATATATATATATATATATATATATATATATATATATATATATAATATTGAGTCAACAGCATTTTTCGGCTACACTAATGATTTTTTCAAAATTGAAATTTTCGTATCTATTGACATAATGCATATTTTAATATTCAAAGTGAGCATTATTCAAAAAGTGAACTCTTGATTGGTCCGTGTTCCGACTCCTATGCTTCCATTATCGCTTATTCCACACAATCCACTCTTTCCTTTAAATAGAAAACCACTTTCTTGCTTTGTTCATTATCAGTTCGATTATGGGAAATGTCTAAAGTAATAGAAGCTTGTGCAAATTGGCTTCTTTTCTGCCTTAGGTTTTCTTACGAACACCTACAGCTGCAAAACAAATTTAGTAATCATTTGTAAAGTTTTATTTCTGCTCTGGCTTTTCATATGAATACATACAGCTGCAAAATAAACTTTGTAAAAAATATCTGTAAAGTCTTATTGCTGTTCTATGTTTTCATTTGAATGCATACAGCTGCAAAATAAATTTTGTAAAAATATCTGTAAAGTCGTATTGCTGTTCTAGGTTTTCATATGAATACATACAGCTGTCTAAGTTATACAACTCTTTTTATTTCCTCTGTAGACCATTACAGCAAACTGCTCACCAAGAAGGCAATACGAGCCGAGCTGGATCTACTAAAACACGAATGGACGAAACTCTCCACCATCCCTTGCCACACGTTCGAGTCCATTCTAGAAGCTCTGGCCTGGGCAACTCAGGACAGAGATCCGCTGGTCAAAGTCCGGAACCCGTCAGCCGTGATGCCAGACGTGCCTGGGAACCTGGTGGGTGCTGAGCACATTCAGGTGCTGGTCATCGGGGAACGGGAACTGGTGGGGAACACATGTGCTGTGCTGCTGCCCAATTAGGGTTTCTAAGGAAATGGCTTGACAAGTAAAGGTTTTTGACCCTACTACAACGTGTGATGTAGAATAATATACATTTATAATATTTTAATGTTTTAACTCGTGAGGTAACTAACACTGTTTTATTACTAAATTACATAGCATCAAACATCAATGAGAATATGTAGCCTAATGTAAAGGTTGTTGACCCAATTATAACGTGTGATGTAGAATTTTATATACCTTTTTAATATTTTAATCTTTTGACTTGTGAGGTAACTAACACTGTTTTATTACTAAATTATATAGCATGAAACATCAATGCGAATATGTAGCCTAATGTAAAGGTTGTTGACCCAATTATAACGTGTGATGTAGGATTATTGACCTTTATAATATTCTAATGTTTTAACTTGTGAGGTAACTAACACTGTTTTATTACTAAATTACATAGCATGAAACATCAATGAGAATATGTAGCCTAATGTAAAGGTTGTTGACCCAATTATAACGTGTGATGTAGGATTATAGACCTGTATAATATTTTAATGTTTTAACTTGTGAGGTAACTAACACTGTTTTATTACTAAATTACATAGCATGAAACATCAATGAGAATATGTAGCCTAATGTAAAGGTTGTTGATTTAATTATAACGTGTGATGTAGGATAATATACCTTTTCTTTTAACTTGTGAGGTAATTAACTATCTCTTTTATTACTGACTTTCAAAGCATCAATTAGTAAAATTATGTAGCCTAATGATAACACATTAGAGCTTCCAGTAGGGCCCCCTGGAAATTTTAGCATGACTTAGAACTCAAGTTTGCTACCCTGAGTATAAGAATACGTCATTACCGAATACTGTAGGCCGAAAAATCAGGATAGTCCAACTTATAAAGGTTTTGAAGAAAATATAAATGTATTAACGTCAGTCACTGGTAAAGTTTCGTATTTCACCTCTACTTTTAAAAACTTTGGTCACCCTCACCTCTCCTTTCAAATTTGTTTAAATTTTACCAGAGGCGTAGCGAAGGGGGGGGGGTACATATGTCCCCGAGCGCCGACCCTAGGGGGCGCCAAAATGGGTTGGAAAAAAATTAAAAGGTCATTTTAGCTGCCGTTTGGCATTATAAATATTAAAAAAATAAATGGAGGGGGGGGGGGCGCCAAATTGAAAGTTTGTCCTCGGGCGCCGGGAAGGGTCGCTACGTCTCTGAATTTTACCTGTGGTAGCTTGGCTAATTTTCACACATATACAATTTCCTCTTTATTTCTATGTTAAATCAATTTTATGACATTGAATTATTTAGATATAGTCCCATACATTAAATTTTTAATTTTATTTGTATGTGTTTTCAAGTTAAAGTAAAATTTAAGTAGATACTCTTTAAACATGAAGGTCAAAAATGCGATTGAAGTTGAGTCCATCTGTTTATGTGAGCTCGACATGTGAATTGATAATGTGATTTGCTTTTTTCCATGCTCGACTCATTTAATTACATCCTAAGGGGTTGATCCCTAGGTCTGAATCATACATGGTGTATACATTTTTATAAATCTAATATATATATATATATATATATATATATATATAAGTATATATATATATATATATATATATATATATATATATATATATATATATATATATATATATATATATATCTTGCAAAGTTTTACGAGTACTAAAGCTTAATTCTAAAATAAATAATCTGAGCATTGGTAAAATTTGCTAACACTCAATTAATGAATGTGTAATTCAATCTTTCTTAAATAGTTTTGAAAACATTATGTTAAAACTTACTTAACATATGAATGTAAAGTAGAATGCATGTAAAGTCTTTTTTTAATGTTCTCAATAGATTGTCTTATATGCATCATTTATTCTTGCTCTTTATATAATAAACAAATGGAAGATGTAAAGAGTTTATGTTTTTACCATTCGTTAGGCAAATGAAAGTGTATGAAATATTTGAGATATAGATCAAAAGATAAACAAACACTCATGTCAACTGATTTTCTTTATTCTTAAAAAAACATTAACATTATAATGACATAAAAATTAACATGCTGACTTAAAATTATTAAGATGTGATTCATTTTTAATTAAACACAATGTAGCAATTGTAAAAGAGCAAAGTATCGATAATTTAAAATTCTTATTAGTTTTGGAAAAATGAATTAAATGATTACTTAATTTCAAATTAATTTCAAATTATTTCTTCAGTGTTACTAACATTTTACTTCGCTTTTCTGATATAATTTGTTTAATAGATTCCTTTTTTTTTTAAATGTCGTCTTTGTACCAATGCAAAACATTTGAAGTGAAAATTTGTAAACAAGAAGAACCAGTTGAATTGTTTTTTATGTGAAGCCTATTTCAAATCTAGTAACTAATTTGAAAAAAATAAACAAGTATTTAATACTTAAAATTTAACAAACATGTTTTTGTTTTAATTACGTTTTCTGGGCAAATGAAAAAATATTTTAGAAAAAATAAACAAATTCTGGTCATTACTTTTGTTTCATTTTAATATGAAATATTTAAAAACTTTATACTTGGCCACATTTTTATACCCAAAAATAAGCTCATGTTACCAACACCAAAGCAAAAATGTAATAAAAAAAAATAATTTCTACTACTATTCTAAGTGAGTTATTTATTTATAATAAAGGTACATAGAAAATTTTTTTTTACAATTTTACTAGCTTATTCAATTTATTTTTTGAAAGAAAATTCTGGAGAAAACTTTCTGTATATGCATTTTCCATAGATAGCATTTTCCAAATTTTTATCTCATCTCATAATGTTTATAGCCGTATTAAAAACCTTCTAGTAATTTGTATTTTATCATGATCCCTAACTTAATATGGTGGTATAATCATGTCAGAGCTAAATTACACTGCACACAAAATATAAAAAATATTGTGGTTATATCGCACAGAAAATTTCAAGAATGTGAATGGCACATACAAAAGAACACACACAAAAAAATCCATCAACAAAATAGAAAGAAAGCAAATCAAATCAATATTGCAGTACCAACATTAAATCTAGCGAACTATTTTTTTTAACTATGTGTTTTTTTTTAGATTTAGAAATTGGTGCACAAAAAGGAGTCAAAATAATATAAAACAAAATCTACGATAACACGTTATTTTTTTTATAATTAAAAATAGAATAGTGTTAAAATACTTCACAAATTATATCTTAAAATAACCGAATTAAAAAAAAACACAATGGTATGTTTTAGTTTACTGTAAAGTTTAAAATTTTCAAATGAGTAGGCATGTCCTGCTCATCATATGTTGACCTAGCACCTACAGCTGTGTTAGGTTTAAAAGAATAATATATATTAATACAAACATGTGTAAAATATATTTGCATTGCATGCTAAATTACTTGCAGATACTATTTGTCAATAACATAAAATCTGGGCCAAGATAAATTCAAAATGTTGAGTTTAAATATCTCTGAATTTAAACTAATTAGAACTATTTTTTTTAGTGAAACAGCAATCTACTAACACATTAATGATTAAAATGAAATAAAAGCATTGATTAAAATATGTAGAATATACATGTAAAAAGCATATTCAAAGATGCAATGTTAAAATATAACAAAAGCAAAATCAAAATGGGATAAAATATATTTGATTTACATTCAATGTTTTCTCAATGAATTAAGGTTTTTAATTACTCAAGATTAATGACTGTTAATTTACTATCCTTATGTGATAAAATGTGCATACAAATTTTCTAGTCAAGCTAAACCAAAGCTGACCATGTAAGTATCTTGTTTAGATAAGTAAAACCTAATGGGGCAACGGATTGTAATAAATGTAAAGATTATGATTTTTATTATTATGTAGCTCAATCTTGTATTTTTATAATAGCTACACTCCACTCCTAAAGTCAATTAATAAACAGAAATTTTTTAAGAACAATCAATCTTAAAGTACAATCTGTAAGTTATTTTTTTAAATTTTCATTCATTGTTTCATTTTCATTTAATAGATTGAATAATTTAAACTAAGTTAGGTTAGCAAAAAATTATAATTAAAAGAAATATATATAATATCATGAACTTCCACATTTTCCAAACTTACAGCGAACAGCTTGAACTAAAATTTGGTTTTTAATGTTTAGCAATCTAAATTGGTCTTTTATCAGGGAATAAATTCTGCATGAATCTGTCAGAATAGCCTATGTTAGGTAGCTGAAATTGAAGTTTGAAAAATGCAAGATTAAATTAGCAGCCACAACAAATCTTTTTCAAATATATACTTATGTAAGCAGTGGAGTGCTAACCTGCAGATCCTACTTTTGATTCCAGTGTTAAGTACATAAGACATAACTGAGCCTAGCAGGTAAAAGTAGCTAGACATAGAACAGACAAGTCTATTCATTACTACACCAAAAACAAAGATAGTGCTTTATTTACTGTGCTCACTATCATGTCTCAAAGTCCCTCTATTTGAATTTGAAACTAATAGTATGGCAAAGTTTCAATATTAGGACTACTATTTTATATCAGATAATTGGAATTAACATGAAAATTTAATTTAGTAAAGGACATAAACATGTGGAAAGAATGAGAGAGTGAGAGAGGAATGAAGATTTTAGGCATATGTATACATAAATATAGATGGATCTATAGTATAAATATCGGTATAGATGTGGGTGTAGGTATGGTTTTATTATAGGCACAGGTACAGGTATAAGTAGAGTAGATGTAGAGTAGATTTAGAGAGATATAGGTCCTGATATAGATACCTATACAGATATGTATTTAGATACAAATATAGATACAGATATAGATAAAGTGTAATTGTGAAAAATGTATAGAAATAGGATTAGTAGTCATTGAATAATGAGTTTAACTTTAAATCCATTCAAAATGGTATCATGAGAAATTTTTAAAATTGTATCTACTATCTTAACTTGCTACATTTAAAGGGTACTTTAATTTAAATACTTTAAAGTTACATTTTTTAAATTTTTAATCACAAATGTACTCAAAAAGAAAGAATAATTTTTTTTTTAAATTCAAAGCCAAAGCTGATAGTACTTCTTCCCATATAATTGGATAAAAAAAACAATCAATGTTATATCAAAAACTCTGAAACACGACTATGAAACAATCTCTAGTGTCTTGATTAAGACAATAATGGTAATTGTAATCAAGAAGACAAATAAAAATATGGCTTATAATTTTTTTTAAATTTCAATTATGGCAAAACATTCCAAGGTAAATATTTTATTTTAATTACCAACAGCTGAAATAAATTTTTTTTCTATTAAAAAAAATTAACTGTAAAATACAACAACATAAGAAAAGCAGATCAAAAACTTCAGGTATTGCTAAATAAATGCAACATAAACACTAACAGAAACATCATTCAAAAAGAATACAATACTGACCTCTCATTGGTCTTCAGTAGGGATTGCTGATGAAGTTGGCCTCAAAGCATCATCTTTCAACTGTAAAATTAATACACAAAACTACACAGTCATGTAATACTTCAAAAGAAAGTTTCATGTACAAACTTTATGTACAAAATTATGCATTAAATTGATCATTTTTCTCATAAAAAATTTTGCTTGTTGATTTTTTATCCTAAGCATTGTAAGATAAAGTGAGTTACAGATTAATTTAGGGAACAAATTAATTGTTTTAAATTGATCATTTGTTAAATTTAAAAAGAAAATATATTAGACATCAAGGTGAATGACAGTGAAGGGTGAGGTTAATTTTACTATTGTTTTAAACTTATGTATTTAAATATCTGTGCTTTATCAAAATCCTTTGCAAATTTAATTTGCAATGCTAATTTAATTTAGTTAGATAATATATTACAATATACACTTATAAAGGTTTCTTTGATATTTTTATATAATTTTTCTTTAAACTGTTTTCATTTGGTAGAAATTTAAAATATCAGTTTACTTTTTCTTTTGACAAATGAACATGCTGTCTTGTACAGAGTTTAATTTTGATTATTTAAATCATAAATTGTGGAATAATATAGAAAAATCCAACATATTAGAAAATTCATACGTGGAAATTTAAATCCATGTTTGTCAAATTAGGGTTGGATACTCCACCAGCACTTCCTGAAAAATTAAAAAAAATAATCTTTTAAAATAATGCATTTCACTCGCTGTGAACAACACTTCCTTGTATATTAAATAACCAAATATTAAAAAGCATTTAAACTAATGAGGATATGTTGTGCTAAGTCACAGTTTATATTATAGTATACTGTGCTTTTGTATTTTGTTTGGAATTTTCAAAAGTTTCTACATATTTTATTCTGCTCATTTATAAATAACACATAATACAATAGAAATATATTTAGAGAGAAAGTTTAAATACTACATCACTAGAGTAAAAATTTGAAAGAAAAAAACACTTGCCAGACAGCCCTTCAGGGTTTTGTTCACTTTTTAAAGAGTTGCTCCAATCTTCCACTGTCTTAACATTAAAAAATCAACAACAAAAATTAATTATAAGATCTCATTTAATTTTAAATATGGGATCTAAAACTTTAAAATCTAAAAATTTGGTAAATTTTACTTTAGTTAAATAAAAGGAAAAAAGTTTATCACAGTTATTACAAAGTCAAATTAATTTTATAATTTTGTAAACACAGAATTGAAAAAAGTATACCCAGAAATAAAATAAAATATGAGTTCATAAAGCAAAAATTTGAGTAATTTTTATAACATGCTAATAACAATAATTTTTATTTTTACCTAACCAAGTTGAGACCCTACAGTGTCAGAACATATAAGTAAAAGATTTAGAAAAGATCGTTAATGCAATGGATATTTTACGTCATCCATGGCTTCACTAGCTCAGGTGTCACCTGGTGTGGTAACTCATGGAATCAGCCTACCCCTCCAACACTTTTGCATTTTCAATTTGGTGTCGTCCCCCCTGTCCCCCTGTCTCCCCCCCCCCCCCCCACACACACACACCTGGCTTTTTTTATATTTTTAATTAAATATAAAAAGTTTTGAAAGTAAATTTTATGATTTTTCAATTTGGTGTCACCTCCTAAATGGTGTAACATAAAAACAATGTCTGGACAGCAACCCCCCCCCCCCCCCCCACACACACACACACATCTCCCTAAAGCAGCTTCTCTATAAGAAATGTGTAGAGCACAAGATAAAAACATTGATATAAATATATATTTATACTTTTTTACCTTGCTTGGTGGAGAACCCACACTTTCAGCACCTGTTTGTAAAGGATTTAGAAAATATTATACCTGCACTGGATATATTATGCTGCTACAAATTAACTTAACACTATGCCTAGAATAGAATTGTGTAGGCAGTTGGGGGGGGGGGGTGTTTGAGGTAGTATTAATATCTACCAAACATTTCCGCCACCCCATCCCAAAAATGAAAGTTGTTTCACATTAAGTTAGTTATTGGTGATAGTGCACTTTAGTTCTTCTGTGTCTACAATTTCAAAATTTTGAGTATTATATAATATAAAATATATCCAAAAACAATATGCTTAAAATCCTACTACACCACTAGAACTTTTCATTAAACAAATACATTTGATAAGACTCTAAAACTAACTTATTGACAGGGAAAATATGAGAATGAATTCCAAAGACATTTTACTATTTTAAGTGTATTCCAGGGGTCGTGTGGTCTAATGCTAACCTTATGACTTTTAACCCTCAAGTCTCGTGTTCGAATCTGGGTTCAAGTCCATAAAACATTCCTGAGTACACCCAGCTCTGATGGGTACCTGACTCATGTTTGGGAAGGCAGCTGAGCATAGTGCTGTGCACTCTCTCTTTTCATATGTTGAGGTCACAGAAATAGGTGAACTCTATTTCACTTGCCCCGTGGATCTTTTTGTTGGAAAGGGTTTTTACTTTAAGTGCATTTTCTATGTGCATTTTCAATGCACAACTTTTTCTGCTTAGATAACCTACTAACTGTAATCTGCTGAACCACTTAGGTTGCATATTTCACTCATTGGAGAGTAATATATAGCCTACCCATGTAAAGTGTGGTTTATTTAAATAATCTAAGGAAAAAACAAAACTCAGCCTGTTTTAAAGACACACTTACCACCACTCTCTTGGATAGCCTTCACAAAAGAAAAAAAAAAAGAAAATTTTAAGTACAAAACAGATTTTAAAATGAATTAAATAAAAAAATCTTTTAAAAAAAATCTTAAGTTTCATATTTTACCAGCTGCTTTATAATAAATATAAAAAACAGCTTCTCATACAAAAATGTTAAACATGGTAGAGTTTTAAAACAAAACCATGAAGGAAAGGGTAAAATACACTACTACAATTATGCTACAAACAATAAACTAACACGAGAAAAATTTTTGCCATGCAAGAATAATATGGTTTCATCTCCATCTTTAGTGAAACTGACAAAAATGACTGAAAATTTGATTTAGTTTTTTTTGTTGCTTGTCTTAGCTACAGATTTAAAAAAAAAATAATAATAATAATTTTATTTATGCTCTTAAGTTTTAAGTGTGGGGGCTTTATTTAAAAAGGGAATTTAGTATTAAACTTTTAAATTTGTTCTTGAAATTTTTAACACTGAAAAACAAAAATGTGATTCAGAAATATAGGGTTCTATTTCAGATTTTTAGTTTTAAGAAAACTAAAATTGTAACTCTAAAATCACACACATCATTTTTAAAAGCATTGAATAGACAAATAAACCCAATATTTCTAACTTTCTCAGTCTATTTGTGTAATTTATCATTACCTTTATAACGTTTTAAGTATCTCATAACTAAAAAAGCATTAGGACTATTAGGTATATTATGTTTCATCATCAGATGCTGTTAAATTTTGTTTCATTCATGCATAATCCCCATTATTTAAGCTATTTAATTCTTGTATGTATATATTACCTCTCACTTCATAAGTGTTTGAACTATATTACTTACTTTAGTTGGTTATTATCAATTATTACATATTCATCATAACACATTTAGAAAAAAAAAAAGCATTAATAAAGTTCATAAAAAATGAATTAAATATGTATATTTTTTAATTAAAGTGCAGAAAATATATTTAGCCTATATATTCACCTCAATTTGATTAGAGCACTCAGCTTCAGCTTCATCTGTTGAATAGTCATTTAATCAGAAAATCAACTCAGTTACAAAGCTAAATTTATATTTATTAAATTGGGGAGCACTCTGATTTATTATATTGCTTTATATACTGAACTCATTGTTACCAATAGCTTTCTCATTGTTGTTTTTTTACTTGTTTATTTTTTTTTTCACCTTCTTTTATTTTCCTAATTATTTTTATCTATGAAAATTGCTAAAAGTATCAAATATATTTTTGTGCCTTTTTTCAGTTGCTTGGATTTTTTATATATTCAATAAAAATATTCTTACCATCAAAGAAAGGGAAATCAAATCCCAGTATTCCCAGATATTCCTGAAAATTAGATGGCAATTTATTGAAATGTATATATAAATAGCATAATATATATATATATATATATATATATAAATTTATGTGCACATATATATGTGTGTATGTGTCTCTCTCTATATATATTTATATATGTATATGTTACAGCCAAACCCTTAAGTCGACCAGTGTGCACATTGGCCAATATCACCTCCTACTGACTAGCCAAAAGCCAAAAAATTTTCTTTATTTCTAACAAAAACCTGCTAGTTCATGGACTGGCCAGGGCTAATCAGTCAAAGTCAGAATTAGTAGATCATGAGCAGATTTTGGGTGTTTGTATACCTTTATGATCATGACATTTAGCCTTTATTGATTATTAATTAAAGTAAACCAAACATTCAAATAATTTTATTGTACTAAATGTTCAATATACTTGTTAAAAGAAGATGAACTTGTATGACCCTTATGTAAATTTACCTGCTCATCCACTGTTTTCAGTTCCTCAGTGCAGACCTTCACTTGATCAGTGTTATCTATTGAACAATTTTACAAAAATATATATTCCTGAATAAGAAAATTTTATTTTATTTATTTAAAACATGTATTTCTTTCACTGTTTTCCTCATGTAAAATAATATTTCCAATACAAACATGTTTATTTCTGGTTAAGCAATAGCAATTAAAAACTTTATTTTTAGAAAATCTTATGCTTTTTATTTAAATACGTAAGGGAAAATAGACACAGTCACATAACTGGCACTGATAAGACAAGTTTAAATTAGATAATTTGCAGCGGGTGTATCCTGCTGAGCTTATGTCAGATAACTCAGTGAATAAAATCACATGTTAAACATATGCATGAGGAGAAAAATATTTTAATCTGTATCAATATTTTAAATAGTGATATATCCTACAGTGTTATAACAATAGAGGACTGAAGTTATTGTAAATGGGCTTTTCACTCCTGTATATTGAACAAGATGGATTTTGTACAGACCGTTACCCTATAGAAAAATCCCTGTTATGTATTTTAAACACACTCTTACCGCAAATTAGCTGTTTGTCCTGAACAAAAAAAGAGAGAGGTATATTAATGTATACATAATTTAATAGAAAATAAAATATAAAGTTTAATATTAAATTCTAAAATTTAAAACACCCCTATATAATCTTTGCTCCAATTTCATTACATATAATAAGCAACCTCGTGAGGAAAATAGTTTATTAATTAAGTAAAGTTATCATTGAGCAGAATTAAACTTGGTGGTATAAAGTCAAGAAAAAAAAATATCCTTTGATTCCACTCAATTCAATGTTTATAATGAAAATATAAGGAGTTTGTGCCCTTAGCCATAGGAGTAGCTGGCATAGCATATAGTGTAAGTTATTTCAAACACCAAAACATACATAGTCAAAAGAAAATAACAGCTAAATTAATACGAATTAAAACAAATTAAAAGCATGGTTGGGGCCCTAGAATATTATTTATTATCACTTTTTTAAAAAATACTTACTTTTGGAATTACACTCTCTAAAATTTCTGCCTTCAACAGCACTTCAACATTTTCCTTTGTTCTAAAGTTTTCTGTTAATTCTTGATCATCTAAAACAAATTCCAAATTAACCTTTTTTACAATTAAATTGTGTGTCAAGAATTTGATCATGTCACTGAAAACACTGAAAACATAAAGGTTAATTCTGGTAGAGCCTACAGCTTGGAGGAGTAAAAGAATAATGTGGATGGAGTGTTTTAGGTAAATGTGAATAGTTTGACCAAATTGTATTTTGTTGTATGTTTGGTGTACCAAATATAGTTATCAATGTGATAAAAACATGACAGGTATAAAAGGTAAAATTTTTTATTTAAAACAGAATATAATTTATTTCAATGTCATCAGTTACTGAAAATATTCTATTGAGAGTTAATCCTAAAGTGTGTATGTGGTACAAGTCAGCAGTGTTAATTATCAATACATTGTATTTAACCTTCTCCATAAAACTCTGATAGGTAACTAAATTAATTTTGGAATATTAAAAACTGCTACTACTCTACTAGCCACAGGAGTTCTTTAATATGTCATGTCCCTAGCAACCAATAAACTGCTTTATTTCTCCTATTACCTAAATAAATATGTTAGTTTTGATCAATTTGTTTGATATGAATTGATCAGGTTTAGAAAATGTATTCAAAATATCTCAGATATATAGAGGGCCTAGATCTTGATATAAAAATTTCTAAGACAGCTAAAAAAAGGTCTCGGAAATAAGCTTTAAACCATGATTGAGACCACACAACAAAACTTATTTTTTTAGATTATGTAAAGTAAAAAGTAATAGACATTAATGACAATGTGATCAATTCTTTATGAAGTAGCAATTTCTTTGAAAGAGTTTTTAAATATTTTATGGTGAATAAGGTACAATTTTTATAACAGTTTAAAAAACTAATTTTTTTTTAAATATGAATATTACTGTTTATAAATTATTTATATTGTAAACCAACGTGTGATAGTGCATTTACTAAATTCACCCCCCCCCCTTTCCTCAAATCCACCATCACAAAATTCTGAACCCTACTGCACAATCCTCCCCCCTTCCCCAAATGCAATGGGTCTGAAGTAATCTCTTCGAACCTTTAACATACATAGACTTAGGTTTATAGAAAATGTAAATGGGCTAAACTATAACATCTGTACCAGTGATGATAACTATTTTTGAAGACTCCTTGCAGCTTCTAACAAAGGATGTGGCTAAAGGAATTTTTTTATGCAAGTCCTCTCTGTGTATTGAAAAAATGTTTACCTGTAAAGAAAAATTATTTTCATTTTAAACAAATTCTTTAGCATTAATAAAATCCATTCTTTGTTCACTATTCCTTTTTGTGGGGCAGAGGGTCGGTTAAATTAACTTGAAAGGATGGTTTGTTCTACTTTATGTTTGTGTGTATGTAAGCATGTGTGTGTGTTGCATATTTAAGCATTTAATCATGTTCTCATTCATTCATAATATTAGCAATCCATAAAACAATCAATTTTTGAAAATAATTACCAATGAAGAAAATAACCCTTCAGTTTTTGAAATAAAATTTATGGCTTCAAACTTGTTTAACTTGTATTCATTTTCTAATAAAAAATCCAACAGCCATTTTGTCAAGTTACTTCCTAAAATTGGTTTTGGAAAAGGCTCTGGGATCATGTCCAACAACACATTCAGCTGTTTATATTTGTAAGGATTCCTTGGGTAATCTAACTGCATTTCTTAGGAAAAAGCAAAAATAAAACATAGAAACATTGAAATAAAACATTAAAACATAATAATTAAGAAAATTAATTCCATTACCATAAACAATTACTATTGTAAAGCATACAGATTTTTACAATCTATCAATTTAGTAGAAATATGATGGCATAGTCTAGAGGTAAAACACATGCTTGCTGGCTATGAATTGTGGTACCCATGCTTTATCACAGTAAGTGGGCCCTCAGCCTAACTGCCTCTAATATCCAAACCAGGTGGTGTTATGCTGCAGGGGGGGGGGGGTTTAGCATGCCTCATGGAATTCCACAGGTTATGGGGGCAACAATGATTGTTGAAGTATATCAAAAACAAGTAAAGAGATATAACTCAGTTCTGCACACAGATATTATTTAGTCCTTTATATCTTGACATCCTGTTGTTGTCTGGCTCAAGCTAGTAAAGTCCACAAAAGAGACAAAAGTTGCATGATGGCTAATCTAATATGTAGTAAATTATATTCTAAATTATAAACAATAATAGTTTAATCCTTACTCATGTCTCTATTACAGTAGGAAAGTATCTTGAAAGATGAAACACATCTATGTGAAAATGTAAAAAGAAAAGTTATTTTCCAATTAACCAGGAAGGGAAGTCAGGAAGAAACTATACTAGTATGTCTAGGGGCAATTAGAGAGTAGAATTCAGACTTACTATAAATTAGCTAAATTAGAATGGACCTAAAAACTTAAAAAAAAGTTGTGTTACAATGGCAGATTCACTTCTTTCAACTTTTATAATGTTGAACATTTTAAGGGTTAACTACTATGCCTTTTTTTGACATCCTTGATGGAAAAGTGACATCCTGAAACATCCAAAAATGTATCGTCAGCTGTAAGGATTTTTTTTCTTGAGGTGTTTTCAATTACATAGTTTCCTTCATCCTCATTTGACAGATAAAACAACTGTTTTAAAACCTGCAATAACAAAACAAAATGTCCAGCTGAGAACAAATTAGTGTTCTACAAATCTAAAAAAAAAACCAAACAATTTTGTTTTAACATTTAGTCTACGTTTATTACCAAACTTCTAGAGTTAAAATTTAATAACTATGAATTTACCTTAATTACGGTTGGAACTAATAACTAATCATTATTGAAAGAAGCCAATCATATCAATGATTCCTTCTATAGCTTCTAATTAATTAGTATTCATTATCAATTACAATATTGGAATAAGACCCTCCAAAAATGTAAACATTTTTACTGCTGGTATCTATAAGACCATCCTCAGACTGTTCATACTACATTTTTTTTCATGTTCTCTTTTTTTGTATTTTTTTTATCAGCTCATTTACAGAGTAATAAGTAATGAGAAAAAAACTTGTAAGTGTGAATCTCAATATGATAAAGTATGGTTCAGTTCACTTCATGAGCTTGTTATTTCCTTTATAAATTATTAGCTAAACTTTTTTATTATGTCAGCCAAAATATATTGCTATTTAATAAATAATACAGACTCACATTTGCCACACGATCTTGAGGATGAATTGTAATCTTTTTTTTGATGTTGTTAAACTTAACAATCTCATTTGGTTGCTGAACTAGAATAAAATATCATAACATCAATTTGTTTTGATTGTTTTTATATACATTTTAAAAAGACTAAAAAAATAGAGAGTGTTCTTTTAAAGAAATAAATAAGGCTGTTAACAAGTATCAGTTGATTAAGTGAAAGGTAAATGACAATAACAGTAGAAATAGCATTGAAATTTTTAAAAATTAAAAACTGCATTGTTAATCATACCTATTTATAGATAAATACTTACAAAATGGCAATCGCCTTTTATTTCTTATACTTAATTTCCTATAGTCTATTTTCACAAAGAGAATTTCAATCCAGCAATGTTTAACATACAAATAATTTGGCTCACTATTTAATTATGTTATTGCAGATACAAAATAACCTAAAATTGAAAAACAAAATTCTTACGGTTTTCATACTTTTCTACCTGTTAATAAGAAAGAAAGATGTCAACTGTTAATATTAGCTACATTTTTTTATAGTGTTAGGATAGACATACCACACCACTTGGAATCACCCATTTATGACTTCCATGTGGAAGGGGTGGGGGGAGGGGGTGGGGGGTGCCAATAAAGTCAACTTTTGTGAATGCATGTTGACTGGGTGCAGGTGGGTTTGGGTCTATGTAGACATTAAATCATGCTCTATATATAAAGTTTATACCTCTGTGGTCAGGGTTGAATGAAAATAGAAATAGAGTTTAAGAACTTCCATGTGGCTATAATAATCCTTTTGACATTTTCCCAAGCAAGAATAAACATGTTTAGTAACCTGCATCAGTTTTTATACAGGGAGAATGTTTCATAAAGGCATAGGCCTATTTAATATTTAACATTTAATTTATTTACCCAACGCATTCTAGATTGTACTTTTATTATTTTATTAAAGACATTTTAAAAAATAATAACTTAGTATTTAAATATCTAATATTGCAAGCTAACATCTTATTTAATTATTTGGCATGTATTTGAAGTAAGAGAACTATTAAGATTTTAGTGGATGTCAACATTGGGGGTGAGGGGATATGGGGCTTTTATCCAAAGTCAATGTATGTGGACAGAGAATAGGGGGAATCTAAAATTGAAAGGTTTTGTGGCCGTTATGAATGGATAACCCCTTTTCAAAATACCAGATATATCAATAGAAGTTATTTAAGCCCTACTTCAAAACCAAATAAAAACATTTTATCCTTTAAGCAGATGATGGAGATGGTGAGTGCTACCTGAGTTTTTAGATGTGTTTACAATTATATTACTTGTTTTGCAAATTTGTTTTTGCCATTAAGTCCAAGTTAACTAGACTTGTATATATAAATAAAGCCCCATCTAAGATTGGTTAGATCTCATTCAGTATTCAAAAGATTTTGAGGGATCGGGAGGTATGAGAGAGGAGAGGCGGCAATGAGGGCCTGTGGGGAGCATGATATTTTTAAAATTGTTTGCACACAACAACTTTCCAAAGTTTCATGGACATCAGATGACTGGTGTAGTAATTCAAAGCAGACAAACATACACAGAGAGATAGGAGAAAGAGCGAGATATGAGAAAATGAGAGAGATAGACATATGAATCACAAATTGAGAAGGCAATTAATTTGATAGCAGATTTTATGATTTATCTTACCTCTGTGGAAATTTCAGATTCTTCAGCACTTGTGAGTTCTACCATATTCAAAATATTAACAATTGTCAAACATTAAACAAACCAAATTATTGTTTTCAAAAAATTATAGTAATCAAAACTTAAATTTAGCTGCTAGTAAAATATTTGAATTTATCATAGGCCTACAATGATTAAATAGAGTTCATATAAATCTCAACAACAAAAAAGTATTATTTATTTAAACTATATTAAATTGGAAACATATTGTGTGAAAGCCTGCGAAACAGATTTTTTTTAGTACCTGGAACAACAACTAGATCAGGAAGATCCTTAATAAAATCTTCATAAATGAAAAGCACATTTGGAAAAAATGTTAGTTCTTGATCAACATCACTTCTATGAATCAGAATTGTGGGCACTCTCTTCATATACCTTAATTCAAACAGCAAAACAGTGAAGTCCTTGTCCCCTGAGAAATGATAAAATAGTTCTAAGCAAATTTTATATTAACTATTCCTTTGACACCACTAAAATACATAACCTTGAAATGGTGACTATTTTATTAAGTATATACAAACAAAATAGTAATTTAATCTAATTTTTTGCAAATACCTAAATAATGATGGAATGTAAATAATCATAACTAATAATTATTTTTAAACAGTAAAATAAACAATAATTATAGTACGTTTCTATGACAAAACCAAAATAAGTTACTTTGAAACGGTGTTAATATTATTTTGAGTATATTTGAACAAAAATAATGATTTAATGTAAATTTTTGATGATGAAATGACTAAATAGTTATAACTAATGATCTTTTTAAACAGTAAAATAAGGAGTCCATAAGCATCAGTTAACAAGTGAAGCATCACCCAGATGAAAATGTGGTTTCTTGACAATGCAAAACATTTACATCTGCTTTGATGCGCTACATTACATAAACAAATTCTTTTAAGATAAACATACCTGAGATCAGTACAAATGTTTGAAAATTATCACTGTCTGATAGCATCAACTTTTCAATCTTTTGATCAGAAATATTCTGTTTTTCATTATCAGGAAAGATGAAACGTACCTTCTATAAAATACAAGAGAATTTTTTAAAATGTCAACACAAAAATATATCAAGTGAAATATATATAAATATATATATATATATATATATATATATATATATATATATATATATATATATATATATATATATATACGCAATGCCAAAATGAAAAAAAAATTTTGGACTCATCTGCACAGGGTTTTGATTTTGGGACTTTACAGGATAGCAAACAGTTTCTCACTTACAAACATAAATATATACAGATTACTCATTCATACATTTGATTTACATTATTCATAGTCCTATTTACCTCATTGGAGCGTAAGTGTAGAACTCGTTTATGATTTTTGTTTTGGATTACAACGTTTATATTTCCTATAAAATTAAATCCTTCACAAATGCATGTGATTATCCTATTCAAGATGACATTTCCATCTTTTCCTTTAGGGATGCAGCAATTTTCAATATCCCAATAGATACTGATTTGCATTTCCATTGCTCGAACCAAACAATCTTTAAAAATATAAGGCTTCATTAAACAAAATAAAACTAACTAATAAAACATAAATTAATAAATGTCAACATTAATCAGGAAAGTAATTTTAAATCCTTTAGAATTTATATTTCTTTAAGAAAAGCAATTTTATCATTCACATCTAAAAGAAGTCCCAACTCAGCTATAGCTGACAGAAAATTTAGATTTTTAATGCATTAAACTTTTGAATAAGTTAATAAAGTATTTGGAAAGAAACTCTGCATGCAGACCACTTTTAAGATAAGACAAATAAATTAAGCGGTAATGTTAGTGTCTTTATTATCAAGTATCTATAACATCATTATTATTGTGTATTGTTTTCGGCATTAGATTTTAAATTCTATTTTTACTATTGAATCAATGATGTTATTTTGTTGCGTATACTTTTCTTAGAGTAAAAACTTCATAAGTTTCTTTTCACTTTGAAAAATTCTTATTTGTTTCAAGTGACATAACTATAGTTCCATGTGAAAGTTATTAATTTTTCTGTAAATAAAGTATTTGTTCCAAACTTTTACAATTAAAGGGGTGGGTGTTTCTACAAATAAATATATCAATAGATTTATTATCATCTTCAAATAAATTTGTGTGTAACATTTGGGGGAAAAAGCACATTATTCTCTACATAAATATGTATTTTATAGTTCTGCACATGGTGCAGATGCTCTGATCTAGCTGAACAGACAAACATACAAATAAATTAAAAATTTACACATTTCTGACTTTTAGTAGTATATAGATAGATAGATTATGTATAATCCTATTACTAATATGTTTTTATAGCTTTTTTATTCTTCTTACTGTCAAAGGAAATAATTTTCAAATGGTTTTATTTAGTCATTCTATAATTTAGATAATTTGTTAAAGAGTAGTATATGATTCGTTTTAATACAAAGATACATGAAATGTAGGCCTGTGTTGTACAAATGGACAAATTTTAAAGGAAATATTATTATGCTACATTTTAACAAAGTATTACTTACTTTAACTTAACCTATCAAATCTCCATGAGCGTACACAAAAAACGTATCTATAAATTATTAATTTGATTGCAAAAGATGAAGGAATACTTCCATCTTTAAATTGTAGTAATTGAGAAATGGTGGAGAATACTGCCACTTATCCATTAATTTATAGCACAAATAGTAAAAATAAATAATTTAGAAAAAAAAATTAAAAACTGTGAATTTAATATTGCTTTTAAAAGGAATACTATTAAAAACTATCTTTAGTTTAATACCAACATATCCATCATGCATAATGATACCTTGATAATTGTTATGCACATTGTATGGTCTAGGTATTGAATTGGGCTTGGGTTATGTTTAGGATGAAGACTACAGTATTGATGTTGATGAAACTAGCCTATCTACTAAGTTGATATAGCTGAACAAAGAGTACTCATGAAATATACTGGCAGTGTAATACTTCTTAGTTATTCCAGTTTTGTTTAGTCCAAAAGACTAACTCAAAACAAAAATCAGCAAATATACTTTATAACAATTGACTGGACTGGAAAACAGACAAATGTTACTATAGTGAAAATTTTGACCATGGTCTTGTCTAACACTTTTCAAATCAATAAGGAAAATGAAACCCTGCATAACAACATTATCTAACATGCTTGATTATGGGGTGAAGATTTGTTTTTTTAATTTAAAATATAAGCACTGATGTCATTATACAACAACTGCAGACACTTTTTTAAATCATCATTTTAATTATTCTCTACATCATCATCCAGGGCCAGATGAAGTAGAGCTCATCAGTTTAAATGACCTTGGCATAAGAGAGATAGTGTTGTCAGCACTATGCCTAGCAACTTTATTTACATAACTTGAGCTAGGAGTCATCAGAGTGGGTGCAACCAGGGTCCTCTTACAGAATTATCCCAGATCTGAACTTAAGACATTCAGGTTAGCAATCATAAGCTCTACTATCTGACCACTCAATTTATTCTTTTAACTACCAATAACTAAACTTGTTTCTCTGTAACATTAATGGTACAATATAATTACTAATGACTTTCTCTTTCTTAATGTGCTTCCAGACCAGACTTTTTCATTTTAAGGACAGTTTGATATGAATAAAATTTACTTTTAAAAATATACCTGATGCAATGCGAATGTCGTTGAAAATATCCCGTTTGTAGCAAACGCCATCCCATTTTCCTGTTTCAAAACTAAAAAGTGAATACCGTTCTTAATTTCAACATCATGTATACAACATTGTACTTCAAAAATATTTATAGACAATTTTGAAGTTGAATTAAAATGTTTATTATCATTACAACTAAATAAAAAAGTGATTACCTCTTTACTTGTATGAAAATAAAGTTACAGGAGGCTATGTGGTCCCTAAAAATTTGATCATCATTACAACATATGTTTTCAGGAGTGTCATTCTCACTGCCCGGAATGCTCATAAACACATCAAATTTGTCCTCTACATCTGGGATGTTTGATAAAAATAGCAGTTTGGCCTTTACCTGAAATACAAATAAAATATTAATCTAATTACATTTGATATGACAAATCATACATAGCTGATTTTTAATCTTTCCCTCCTTGTACCCCACCCCTCTCAATTCAGAAAACATCACAAAATATACATCGTCACCATGGTAATAAAGTGACTTTTTTTAATAAACTAACTGCGTTACATTTTTAACCACTCTCTCCCACGTAGTACCTATATCTAAGCCTCAGAGTGGCTTATATGTCTTTAACGTTACAGTATTAATTAAAACAAAATTATGTCATTCTCTGAGTGAGTTATGATGCCAGTCATATATATCTATCTATATATATAAAAAGCAATGTGTGTGTGTGTGTGTGTGTGTGTGTGTGTCTGTCTGTCTGTCTGTCTGTCTGTCTGTCTGTCTGTCTGTCTGTCTGTCTGTCTGTCCTTTATGCATTACTACACCTCTCATCACATCGCCGTGAAACTTTGGGAAGTTGTTGAGAATATTCCTGGGGAGGTTTCTGCGAAAAAAAATTTCAAATTCGCAGGGGTGGCGCCCCGGCAGGGCGCGATTTGTTTTTCTCTATATACCGTATATAAAAATAAAAAACGATTTTGGTTTGGCATCGTTCATCCGATAGCCATGAGACTTTGGGGAGTTCATTATACCACTCTAGGGAAGGGTTCTGTAAAAACTAATTTTTAATTTCGCAAGGGCGGCGCCACGGGAGGGTCCGATTTTTCTCTATATACGGTATATAAAAATAATAAAAGTTAATTGCAGTGACGCCGTTCATCCGATAGGCATGAAACTTTTGGGAGTTCATTATAAAACTCTAGGGAAGGGTTCTGTAAAAAAATTATTTTTAATTTCGCTAGGGCGGCTCCACGGGAGGGTGCCTTTTTTCTCTATATACGGTATATAAAAATAAAAGTAGATTTTGCTGTGACACCGTTATCCGATAGCCATGAGACTTTGGGGGAGTTGATTGGGACACTCCAGGGAATGGTTCTGTAAAAAAAATCTTTTTTTTTTTAATTTCGCAAGGGCGGCGACACGGAATGATGGAATTTTTCTCAATATACGGTATATAAAAATAAAAGTCGATTTTGGTTTGACACCATTTATCTGATCGCCATCAAACTTTGGGGAGTTGAATAGAACAATTCAGGGAAGGGTTCTGTAAAAAAAAATCCTTTTTTTAATTTCTCAAGGGCGGCGCCACGGGAGGATGCGATTTTTCTCCATATACGGTTTATAAAAATAAAAGTCTATTTCGGTTTCACACCGTTCATCCGTGTACCATGAAAATTTGGGGAGATGATTAGATCACTCAATGGTAGGGTTCTGCAAAAAAAAATATTTTTTAATATTGCAAGGGCGGCGCCCCCGGGGGGGGGCGATTTTTTTTCTCTATACACGGTATATAAAAAATAAAACTAGGATGCGGTTTATCGAGTGCCATGAAACTTTAGGGAGTAGATGAGAATAATCCCGAGAATATTTCTGCGAAAAAGAAAACTAAAGTTTCTATATTTTCATATAGGGTACAACTTTCGTCAATACACGGTTTGGCGCCCAGAGTTTTAGAGCGACTATGTTGGCACTTGGCATCCATTAATCGAGCGTCCTGCATAGCGAGTAAGGGGTACTACTATATTCAGCGGTAAAACTACAACAGTCTTCTAAAAATAACTTTGTAACGCGAGGAAATCCTTCTGTACAGTTTCGTCACCTTGCCAAAGATGAAAAAATAACTTTTTGAATATGAGGAGCCTACTGTAGAGTTTCGTCACTTTGCGAATGATGCAATAAGCATCTACTATTAGACAATCCAGTCAGAAATTGAGATCGAGCATCTAATAATAGACCTATAGTAACGCTAGCATACTGCATCAGTCACACTGATTTTTAAAACATGTCAAATACTTTTTTACGTGTTAAAGAAAAAAATCCTGATCATTTGTGGCACATTAGCGAATGATGAAATCTGCATCATTATTAACAGGATGCTATTTGGCACTATGGCGCCTATCACTTTTAAGGAGCCAGGGGTCGTACGCCGCGCCTATGCGGTTGTGTAATCGGGGGGTGTGGGCCCTGAGAGCGCCTCTGTACGTCTCTTACACATGGGCGGTCACCAAAGTGTGACTAACATTATTTCGGTGAGTGATTAATGTACACTCAATGTTTACATGTGGTAGTGTAGGTAAACATGTATCCCGATATTTATGATTTAAGCGCAGGCATTGTTTACATTTAAATAACTCACTTTTAGTAAAGACGGTCACGCGTCTAAGAACATATGATTGGTAACACGTTGGTGAAATCTTTCTAATACATTTCGTCATACTTTCTTCTATCCCCGCGGCAACGCGCGGGGGACGGGTACACTAGTATATATATATATATATATATATATATATATATATATATATATATATATATATATATATATATATATATATATATATATATATATATATATATATGTAAG